GCGATTTTATCGCCGATAAAATCGAGGATAATCGCGACTTTATCGGCGATAAAATCGCGATTTTTCCGTTGAAAAATGCTACTTGGGTATGTGTTCTAAAACTTTTCTTCATAGGAATTTTTCTGAAAATGGACTCTAAACGAGATATTCGTGAAAAGCTGAGCGCGGGCATGAATTCTCCATTGGCTCTCTGCAGTCTCTTCGAGTGCTTGGGATCACACGCTCTCTCCCCTTCCCCGGCCGCCCATCATGGGGCTCCGAGAGACTTGCTTCGCTCCGCCTGTACAAAACCGAGCCGGACACACGGTCTACGTGATTCAATGTCTTTGCTATAGAGGTACTCTAAGGTAAACAACTACTCGAGGTTCCAGGCTTCTGATCTTGAAAGTTTAGGTACTTAAAAGTGAAACACTTTATGCAACACCTCCTTCCTCCAACAGTTGCACAAGTACCCTCAACAGTTGCGCCGTCGAGACAAGGCCTTTACATAGCTGCCATGGATATCTCAGGAGTTTATTTTCGGAAGAATTTATTCAAAAGTTAAGGATACCTACCAGGGAATTACCCGTTCACTCTTTCATAAGGATTCTAATAATGAAGATAAACTTCTTTTGAACATATGTACGTCCTTCTGTCTTTCTCTCGCTCACAGTGTGTGGTCATTGTTTTCAGGTAGTCTCAAAAGTACAATGTATCCACAAGCCTCGTGGGTGATGATCACGTTGGCATTTTCAATAGCGACGTTGGAGGTGGCCTCAGAGGAATATAATGTTCAACGAAGAGATGATTTACGTTGTAAAATGTTCTGTCAACTGGTGCTTCAGTGTGAATTTTGCACTGGAAGGCGACCCGTGCGGTTTGGGAAGCGGTCACGACAGATACAGCTCGAAGTACTAACATCTCGCAACGATGTCTTGATGAATGATTCTAGAAATAATGGCTTCTCATTCGAGCCAAGTCAATACGTACCGCGCTTGAACAGTCAGAGCAATGTGAGACAAAAATTCCCTCTAGAAATTATTGAATAGGCCAGTTTAGGTCTTTGAAATTAATGAGAAATAAAATGTCTCAGAATTTTTCATGGAACATCGATTCTTTCTTCTTATTCATCGAAAAAGAAACCTTTCGAAAATACAGGATGTTTCAGACCACCCGTACCAGGCCTTTTTCTCGGTTGATTTAGGTCGTACGAAGTTGGAGATCGCGGGGTTGATTAGGGAATTGACCCCAAGGAATCCGAATTTCGTGGTCCCGAACCCCCCCTCCCAATCCCCCTTTGGGGAGTAAAGGGGGGTCACGATGCTAAAAGTCACGGTTCCCGACCGAGTTGCGGATAGATCGCATCAGAATTGAAAAGCACGGAAAATTTCACGTGGAATTGACCCCTAAAAAGCCAAAATCCGACCATCCGAAGCCCAAAAATGACCCCCTAAAGAGGTGGACAGTACCCCCCTCCATAATTTCTCTTTGGTCGCAAAATTGACGTAAATTCTCCAGAAAAAGACGGTTTCCCAGGTAATCGACCTCGAGAAATCCGAATTTCATGGTCCCCAAGCTCCTCTAGCCCCCCTTGGAGGGTAAACAGGGGGCCCAATTTTAAAAATCGGGGCTCCTTTCCGAGACGCAAATTGATTGCATCCAAATTAAGGAGCAGAACACATTTACATCTTAAGTGACTCCTAAGAGTTCTAATACACCCCCTGAACGGCAGAAAGTAACTCTCTGAGGAAGGGGGCCTCGCCCCCGCCAAAAATTTCTCAGGATTCCTCTTTGGTCGCAAAATTGACGTCGATTCGCCAGAAAAAGACGATCTTCCATGTAATCCACCCCGAGGACTCTAAATTTCATGTTCCCTGAGCTCCTCGGGGTCGATCACATGGGAGACCGTCTTTTTCTGGAGAATCGACGTCAATTTAGCGACCAAAGAGGAATCCTGAGAAATTTTTGGCGGGGGCGAGGCCCCCTTCCTCAGGGAGTTACTTTCTGCCGTTCTGGGGGTCTATAAGAACTCTTAGGAGTCACTTAAGATGTAAATGTGTTCTGCTCCTCAATTTGGATGCAATCAATTTGCGATTCGGAAAGGAGCCCCGATTTTTAAAATTGGGCCCCCCCCCCCGTTTATCCCCCAAGGGGAGCTAGAGGAACTTCGGGACCATGAAATTTGGATTTCTCGAGGTCTATTACCTGGGAAGCTGTCTTTTTCTGGAGAATTTACGTCCATTTTGAGACCAAAGAGAAATTTTGGAGGAGTGCACTGGCCCCCTCTTTAGGGAATCATTTTTGGGCCTCGGATGGTCCGATTTTGGATTTTTAGGGGTCAATTCCACGTGAAATTTTCTGTAATTTACATTTCTGATGCGATCTATCCGCAATTCGGTCGGGAACCGTGACTTTTAGCATCGTGACCCCCCTTTACTCCCCAAAGGGGGATTGGGAGGGGGGGTTCGGGACCACGAAATTCGGATTCCTTGGGGTCAATTCCCTATTCAACCCCGCGATCTCCGACTTCGTACGACCTATACCAACCGAGAAAAAGGCCTGGTACGGGTGGTCTGAAACACCCTGTATTATGCAAGATCATCTGTGAAACAGCTTCTTTTTCTAATCCAAAAGTACCCTTCAAGCAGGATGGCGCCTCATGATTCTGCCATGGGCGAGCAAGTTTAAGCAATCTTGAGGAATTACGCTACAAATTAAACTATCAGAATGCATCTCCTCCATATGTGAAACAAAGACCATCAACTGAGAGGATTGAAGGTCTCATTATATTTCATTCACAGCATCACGCGTGTAGCTAATCTCTGTAAAATGTTCTCATCTGGTGAGAAGATCCTGATTAATGAGTACTCATTATTTTTAGCAGAAGGACGCACTTTCATTAAAGATCAATCCATCAATATTCAAACTGATTTCACTAAATCTTCATGACCTTTGGAAAGAAGTTGAAAATGTAACATTCAAAGAGAATACTATAGGTTAGGTTCTCTTATTGTGGGAAATTAAACATTTGGAGCGGATAAGGTAGTTGTATAGAATTTTTTAATTCAATTCTAAAAGTTTGAGGTCTACTGAGAATTGGGGTAATTTTTTTTTAAAAAAAATTCGGTCACCGGAACTTTGAGAAAGAAACGGGTCTTTCCCCGCGCTTCGGAACTAGGGTTTCGTGACGTCACATGGTATACACCCAGGTTCGCCCTAGGGATGAACGAACATCGAACTCGAATGCGATTATTCGAAACTTTTCGAATGCTATTATTGCGATTATTTGAGAATTCGAATCTTGCGATTGCGAATACTTCGAAAGCGAATATTCGAATATTTTCGATTTTTGATTTTTTATGAACCGTGAGAGATAAATGTCACTTTTAACTAAGACGGTCAGTCATTCTCGTGTGGAGTTGTGTACGAATTTTAATTAATAACGAGATTGACGATATAGGGATGGACGGCTATCGAATTCGAAAGCGATTATTCGAATATTCGTATTTGCGATTTCGAATACTTCGGAAGCGAATGGCTCGGTGCCGATAATTCGAATATCGAGTATTCGATTATCTAAATATTCAATTCTACCATCCCTAGTTCGCTCTATCTATACTATAAGCTCCGAGACCTCCTAATTTTGCGAAACTGGTGACGCTTAGTTCCAGCGTTCTACCGGGCCGATTTTCATGATTTTTGCGGCTATCGACGGGCAATTGTCTTTTATGTCATATACGTGTAAATACGGTCTTCATACAAATTCGCGAAAAATCGATTTTTTCGTCTGGACTTGATTTCTTGGTGTCGATGAACATTTTAGGATTTAATTAATAATTCCAAAACAATTATGAAAGCTCTCTATCATGATTTCTTAGTGAAAAAGGGAGTTGAAATAGAGTTTTTCGCGTATCTTCTGTCGCCGCCGGGAGTCGTGCGGTCCGTCACATTCGGATGCGTCCGGACTGCTTCGGCAGTGTTAGTGCGTCGTAGGCAATCAGAGCCCGAGTTGGGCTTATTCCGCAATCAGACGCTGAATTTAGCTGCTGAATGTGGAAGTCAACAGTCATCGCCCAACGGCTGAAATTTAGCAAATTCGAGTTATTTTCAACCAGATGTGTATTAAATCTACTCGAATAGTTCAGACAAATTCAAAATTGGTCCGATGGTTGCTGAGAATCGTTCCTGAATTTTGCGCGTCACGCGCAAAATTCAGGCATCGGGCCGATGACTTCCACATTCAAGCCACATTCGGCTCCCACATTCAGCGTGTGATTGCGGTGTCATGCCGCAATCACACGCTGAATCAGCTGAATGTGGAAGTCAACAGTCATCGCCCAACGGCTGAAATTTTGCAAATTCGAGTTATTTTCATCCAGATGTGTGTCAAATCTATTTGAATAGCTCAGACAAATCCGACATTAGTCCGATGGTTGCTGAAAATTCAGGCATCGGGCCGATGACTTGCACATTTAAGCCACCTTCAGCGTGTGATTGCGGCATCATTTGGCGCTGGTGACCAAAAATCATAACACCATAACCTGAGATGCGTTGTTTAAAGCTCGTATCAGACGATCAAAGTAGAGGCTTCAAAGAGGTTCATCGATGCCTTTCCTGGTCCTCTCATTGGCCAGCGGTCTCAATCGGGGGAATCGATGAGTCTCTGTGAAGCCTCTACAGCGTCCGGCTCACTTTCAAACTGGGGCTCTCCAACTGGCATTAATTATTCCATTTCTCAGCCATTTCTCCACGGAATTCCTTGAAAATTTCAAGATCTGATCTATGATGTATCCCGAACGCAACGGTAACCTTCAAAGATCGTCGGTCCGACGATCTTTGAAAGGCAACAGTCAACAGTTCCATCGATGAGCCCCTGAAGCCTCTAGTTTGTAGGTGGGCTGGACGCTTTATTTGATCGTCTGATACGGGCTTAAGTTCACAACTGCCCAACGAAAATTACCCGCTAAGTGTTGAGCTCAACGAAAGCGTTATGGTTAATTCTGGTGGATTTGCCCGTTTCCCAAGATGGCTGCTCAGCAAACTGTCCAACAGCTCAACGAGGTCTCTGGCTGCTGCCGAGTTTGCTGGATTGTTGTTATGTTATTGTTTGCATCAATAGACGCTTTTAGCGGCGACGTCTATGGAACGCCGTTGCGGACCAAACCTAAAACGCGCGCGAAACACAGGAAAATACACGCGCGACACAGTAAATGTCCGCTGCACACGAAAATCTGAGTGATTCGCGGAAAATGTTGTGCGCTGCGAGAAATTTCGATACTTGTAACGATTACGCGTAGCGTAGCGCACAGGAAAGTACGAGAATAACCTCAAATGCTGCGTCGCGCACCGAACTTTGATACATCGAGATTCTACGCGACGCACTACATTTTTACCTCTTCCTTTTCTTCGTCAGGTAACCGTTGGAGGGGAATGATGGTGTTGTTGCGAAGACTTTCAAAATTCGGGCTTGACGAAAGTTGCGATCTGCTGATAGGAGACAATTTGATGTTGTGAATCTTGTGATGGTTGTGAATTCAGATTCAAGAAGGATCGAGAAGCGTGATCTCGAAAAAATTGGGTAAGTGAAACACAATTGTATGATTTTTAGGCATAGTATTGGCAACAATGCAGCTATTCCCCTCCAACGGTTTCCTGACGAAGAAAAGGAAGAGTCGTGTTTTGTTCGAAACAACAAAATGTTTCCGTTTTTTTCTTGTTTCTTTTTGCGCGATTCTGAACAACCAATGAGAGAGCAACTTCCAATTTTAGGTTAGAAATCAGCGTTGCTCTCTTGAACAACATAAGGCCTTGTCTCGACGGCGTAACTGTTGAGGGAATCAGGTGCAACTGTTACGAGTTTGTTGCACCAACCGAAGTTCCCTATCTCGACGCACAAGCATGTGTTCCTGGAACTTTTAGGCGGGAATATTTGAACAACATTAATATTTTTAGGTTAAATGATGTCAATTGAGGTAACTGAACTGACAATTATGAACGGGAGGTGATTATTTTGCGTTATTTCGACCAGGTATAAAACAAAAAACATTAACATAACACAGATTTGGATAAAAAGAAAATATATTCGATAAAATTTTATTTTCTTGCTG